GAGATCGGGAAAAAGACTTACATCTGTTGACGCTGCAGTCATCCTAGGAGGGTGGGAACAAACATCCTTCTAAGTACGCAGGTGGAGAAAACAGGATGAAGATGATCACTCTCAATGCCACGGGGGTCCCCATCCTTAGATCCCCCATGTTTAGACACAGAACTCCATGACCCATTGCAGTGCCTCATCCCTTATCAAATGGCTTTGTTGGAAGCTTCAGACAACCCAGCTAGGAAGAAGGCTGCTACTGCTGTGCTGTTTCTATGACAATTTGAGTCCCGTCTTAATAGTCCTTTTCATCTTAGATAACCCATAGTGCTCTGGGGATTCTTTGTCCTGTATTAAATGTTTATTTTTAAAACGAAGATTGTATATAAGGTCACAACAGAAGTAAAACATTCGATTTTTCGTGCCTCATGTTGCCTTTAATCTTTCATACAGGACTCAGACTGGAGCCAGTGAGCTGAAAAAAGGGTGAAACTATAGCCAAAGTGGCCCACGATGCTGCCGGAGGGCCCAGGCATGGGAGGGGCCCCAGCAGGGCTGAAGTTGTGTGGGGATAAAGTGGCTGAGGTTGCATTAAAAGCAAAATGGAGTGGTGGAGTAGATATGAGTGACCTGCAGATCTGTACAGGGAGACACTCCCTGTTCCTTCTCATATTGGAGTAAGGCAGGGATCCTGTTCTCTAAAAATGACATCCGATGATTGTAATCATGGAGTCCGGAGGTCGGTAATGGAGACAACCTGAGTTTCTGGGGGAGTCTCTCTTCTCATGACTCTCCAGAGTTCTACTCGCTCTCAAGCTCAGTTTGTCTTTCTCCAGGGTAGGCCCTTCATGTATTTATGGAAATGATCTCGACCTGACCTATCACAAATCTCAGACTGAGCTCCGACCTACCATAACCAGATCTATCACTGACCTCAGACTGAGCGCCAACCTACCTCAAACTGACCTATCACTGGCCTCAGATTGAGCTCCAACCTACCTCAAACTGACCTATCACTGACCTCAGACTGAGCGCCAACCTACCTCAAACTGACCTATCACTGACCTCAGACTGAGCGCCAACCTACCTCAAACTAACCTATCACTTACCTCAGACTGAGCGCCAACCTACCTCAAACTGACCTATCACTGACCTCAGACTGAGCGCCAACCTACCTCAAACTGACCTATCACTGACCTCAGACTGAGCGCCAACCTACCTCAAACTGACCTATCACTGACCTCAGATTGAGCTCCAACCTACCTCAAACTGACCTATCACTGACCTCAGACTGAGCTCCAACCTAACTCAAACTGACCTATCACTGACCTCAGACTGAGCTCCAACCTATCTCAAACTGACCTATCAATGACCTCAGACTGAGATCCAACCTACCTGAACTTGATCTATCGATGACATTAGACTGAGCTCCAACCTACCTCAAACTGCCCTATCACTGACCTCAGACTGAGCTCCAACCTACCTCAAACAGACCTATCACTGACCTCAGATTGAACTCCAATCTACCTTAACCAGACCTATTACTGACCTCAGACTGAGCTCCAACCTACCTCAAACTGACCTATCACTGACCTCAGACTGAGCTCCAACCTACTTCAAACTGACCTATCACTGACCTCAGACTGAGCTCCAACCTACCTCAAACTGACCTATCACTGACCTCAGACTGAGCTCCAACCTACCTCAAACTGACCTATCACTGACCTCAGACTGAGCTCCAACCTATCTCGAACTGACCTATCAATGACCTCAGACTGAGCTCCAACCTACCTTAACTTGATCTATTGATGACCTTAGATAGAGCTCCAACCTACCTCAAACTGACCTATCAATGTCCTCAGACTGAGCTCCAACCTACCTTAACCCGACCTATCAATGACCTCCGACTGAGCTCCAACCTACCTTAACCGACCCGACCTAGCAATGACCTCCGACTGAGCTCCAACCTACCTCAAACTGACCTATCACTGACCTCAGACTGAGCTCCAACCTACCTCAAACTGACCTATCACTGACCTCAGACTGAGCTCCAACCTACCTCAAACTGATCTATCACTGACCTCAGACTGAGCTCCAACCTACCTCAAACTGATCTATCACTGACCTCAGACTGAGCTCCAACCTACCTCAAACTGACCTATCACTGACCTCAGACTGAGCTCCAACCTATCTCGAACTGACCTATCAATGACCTCAGACTGAGCTCCAACCTACCTTAACTTGATCTATCGACGACCTTAGACTGAGCTCCAACCTACCTCAAACTGACCTATCACTGACCTCAGACTGAGCTCCAACCTATCTCAAACTGACCTATCAATGACCTCAGACTGAGCTCCAGCCTACCTTAACTTGATCTATTGATGACCTTAGATAGAGCTCCAACCTACCTCAAACTGACCTATCAATGTCCTCAGACTGAGCTCCAACCTACCTAAACCGACCTATCAATGACCTCTGACTGAGCTCCAACCTACCTTAACCCGACCTAGCAATGACCTCCGACTGAGCTCCAACCTACCTTAACCTGACCTATCAATGACCTCAAACTGAGCTTCAAACTTCCTCAATCTGACTGAACTCAAATGAGCTCAGACTGAGCTCAAGCCTCAATCTGACCTACTACACAGTTCGCTGCCTCTCCGATGGGTTTCCAAAATAAAACATTTGGGTATTAGAATTTCTAATGAAGTGGCAGACTTTGTCAAATTTAACTTTTTTTCCCCTAACTAAAATTAAATATGATATCTGGAAGTCCTCACTCTTGTCACTAATTGGTAAGATTAGTTTAAAAAGACGAAACTACTTCTATCTTTTTCTATGTCCTACGCAATGCTCCTGTTTGGATTCCACTGAACCTATTCAAACATCTAGACTCGCATATGTCCTCCTTCTTATAGAATAATGCTCCCCCCCCCGCGCCTCAGCTCATCAATTCTGTGGTTGCCCTTGGCCTTGGGTGGATTAGCACTTTCAAATTTTTGTCATTATGTTTTGACTGGTCAGCCACATGCTCACCATTGGCTCACTGTTAATAAAGCAACGCCTTGGTAGTAGCGGAGGTGCGTGTTTTAGGCTCATATGAGGCATTACAATCTCTGCTTTACAGGGGTTGCTGGGCCCCATATTCCCTCGCCTGTACTGTGAGGGTGACAGGTACGGCTTGGAATAGGTTCAAGATACTCTCATCTCCTGGATGTGACTGGTGGTCTCCAAATATGCCTCTGTGGAGCAATACGAGTCTTCCCCATTATCCGAGCATCGACAGGCATCAACGTTTTAGGGGATTTGTTCGTTAAAAACAAACTATTATCATTCAGGAAGCTACAATATAAATATTCTCTGCCTAGCTGGTGTTTTTTTCTTCAATTGTTCCATGCCTGTGCCTCTCAATTTGATTTGACCAATATCTGCCAGGGACAGACTCATCCAATTTAAGATCATCCACGACTTTTACCTTACCCTGGATAGCCTGGCTATGTTTTCAATTGTCCATCTGGCCGTGTGTTGCGGTGATCTTAATGCGGGTTTTCTTCACATCTTTTGACCCTGTCCAGCGAAACACATTTACTGGTCCCAGGTTACCAGGGGCGGACTGACAACTCATGGGGCCCCCGGGCAATAGAGGATCATGGGGCCCCTGTGTCCTTGCCCCAAACTCAAAAAAGCCCATGAAAAAGGTACCAGGGGCATCTCATGGGGCTCCCTACTGACCCAGGGCCCTCGGGCAGTGCCAGAGTTTCCAAATGGTCAGTCCGCCCCTGCAGGTTACAAAAGCAATTTTAGATGTAACTGATATCAGGATGGATACCTTTGGACCTAAAAGTCTGCTGGCAGTGACACTGATTGGTTTGTTACTCTACTATACCAGGAAAATACTTGTAATTCTGTAATTGGTGGCCCCCTGCTCCTCCTCCTACCTCAACCTGATCTATCACTGATCTCCAACCTACCTCTAACTGACCAACCACTGACTTCCAACCTACCTCAACCTGACTTATCACTGAACTCATACTGAGCTTCAACCTTCCTCAAACTGACCAACCACTGAGCTCTTGCCTACCTCAACCTGACCTATCACCAACCTCATACCTACCTCAAACTGAGTTCCAACCTACTTCAAAAAACTCACCCACCACTAAACTCAGACTGAGTGTCAGAGCCTGGGTCTGAACCTGGGCCTTCTGCAGTGAGTGGCAATGTTTCTTCTTGCTGAGCCACCTGGAATGCTGGACAGCTCCCTTGACAATCCTACCTTGGCCTCGTTTGTCATGAACCTTGAACCCTTTGTTCCTCCCATGAACTTCCTGATATAAGCCATGTCTCTGTACTTCCTGTTTGCCAGATTATTGTGCTCTCCAGCAAGTATCTTGCGCTTTGTCATCTCTGTTATTTTCCATATTTTACTACCACTCGTTATTGACCCTTGGCTTGTTTCTCGACTACGCTTCTGCCTGATCTGAACCTGCGACTGCTCCTTACCGACCTTGGCTTGTTCTCGACTACGCTTCTGCCTGACCCAACCTGCGACTGCTCCTTACCGACCTTGGCTTGTTCTCGACTATGCTTCTGCCTGATCCCAACCTGCGACTGCTCCTTACCGACCTTGGCTTGTTCTCGACTACGCTTCTGCCTGATCCCAACCTGCGACTGCTCCTTACCGACCTTGGCTTGTTCTCGACTACGCTTCTGCCTGATCCCAACCTGTGACTGCTCCTTACCGACCTTGGCTTGTTCTCGACTACGCTTCTGCCTGATCCCAACCTGTGACTGCTCCTTACCGACCTTGGCTTGTTCTCGACTATGCTTCTGCCTGATCCCAACCTGAGACTGCTCATTACCGACCTTGGCTTGTTTACCGACCACGCTTCTGCCCGATCCCAACCTGCGACTGCTCCTTACCGACCTTGGCTTGTTCTCGACTACGCTTCTGCTGATCCCAACCTGTGACTGCTCCTTACCGACCTTGGCTTGTTTACTGACCATGCTTCTGCCTGATCCCAACCTGCGACTGCTCCTTACCGACCTTGGCTTGTTCTCGACTACGCTTCTGCCTGATCCCAACCTGCGACTGCTCCTTACCGACCTTGGCTTGTTCTCGACTACGCTTCTGCCTGATCCCAACCTGCGACTGCTCCTTACCGACCTTGGCTTGTTTATTGACCACGCTTCCATTTGATCCTTACCTGTTTATACGCTACTGGACCTCCACTTGCTTACCTCCTGGTGGGGTGATCCTGAGGACCGCGACCTGGTACTAACACGCAGCAAAATCCATCTCCACCATCAGGAGCTGTGGTGAACACCGGTTGGTACTTAGACTCCGCACCTTGGGTGATCCCACGGTGACCAGCCTGTGTACCGATCCTGCTGGTTTCAGGTGAGCCTTTCCACTGCTATAGCAACTGGTCTTTGAGCCTGACCCCTGATTGTGACACTGAGCTTCAACCTAACTCAAACTGACTTACCACTGATCTGAGACTGACCTACCATTTGCAACAGACTGAGCTCCAACCTATCTCAAGCTAACCTACCACTGTTTCTCCCGCGGCCTCCACAGGGCAATTGTCTTCATTGCAGAGTCCAGCTTTTTACCATGACTCACTTTACATGCAGTTTATCACCCTAAACATAAGCCTGGAAGGGCCCTTGAAATGTTGGTAAAGCTGGCCATACACTGCTTGAATTTTCTGCTGGATCGGTGGAAATTTGAGCAATGTATGGCCCTGCCGTCACTAGGCATTTGACAGAAGTTGAATTTATTCAAAGGAGCGTATCCGAAAATTGTCGGCCAAACTGTGCCTGTATCCAATCTACTGCAGGCACTGTTCAAGTATTCTATACAATGGTCTGCTGGGGGTGGTCATCCATCAGTGCTGTCAATGTGGAAGAAGAAATCTGTTTTTTCTTTGTTCGGGCCCAAGGACTGAAGAAAAGAAATCTATATGTGTATACAGTAGTCAGCGTAAGGGCCCCATGATTCATAGTTTTATACCGGCCTCTGACTTATCTTCAGCCGACCGCAAATCAATCTCAGACTGACCTCAAGTGCAAATGTTTTTTATTGACTTACTTCTGAGTCTGCAGCCCATGTACACTGCCAGCCCCAGCTGTTCCAGGTACATGACTCAAAGATGCACAGGGGCACCGTGGAGTCACTGAACGATTCAGAATGCTCTGGGGTGCACTTGGGTCATGAGGCTGAATAAAAGTGTCATGGTGACACACAGTGGGCACACTAGAGTCACCTTGGTGGCATGGAATGCTCTGAGGTCACTGGGTGCACAGGATGCTCTGGGGTCACTGGGTGCACAGGATGCTCTGGGGTCAATGGGTGGCACAGGATGCTCTGGGGTCATTGGGTGGAACAGGATGCTCTGGGGTCATTGGGTGGAACAGGATGCTCTGGGGTCACTGGGTGCACAGGATGCTCTGGGGTCACTGGGTGCACAGGATGCTGGGGTCATTGGGTGGCACATGATGCTCTGGGGTCATTGGGTGGAACAGGATGCTCTGGGATCACTGGGTGGCATAGGATGCTCTGGGTTCATTGGGTGGCATAGGATTCTCTGGGTGATACAGGATGTTCCAGGGTTACTGGGTGGAACAGGATGCTCTGGGATCGCTGGGTGGCATAGGATGCTCCAGGGTCACTGGCTAGCATATGATGCTTTGGGGTCACTGGGTGGCATAGGATGCTTTGGGGTCACTGGGTGGCATAGGATGCTCCAGGGTCACTGAGTGGCATGAAATGCTCCGGGTTCAATGGGTGGCATGGGATGCTCCATGGTAACTGGGTGGCATGGGATGCTTTGGGGTCACTGGGTGGCGTAGGATGCTCCAGGGTAACTGGGTGGCATAGGATGCTTTGGGGTCAATGGGTGGCATAGGATGTTCCATTCAATGGGTGGCACAGGATTCTTTGGGAGATACAGGATGTTCCAGGGTCATTGGCATAGGATGCTTTGGGGTCACTGGGTGGCATAGGATGCTTTTGGGTCACTGGGTGGCACAGGATGCTCCAGAGTCACTGGCTGGCATAGGATGCTTTGGGGTCACTGGGTGGCACAGGATTCCCCAAGGCCATTGTGTGGTATTGGATGCTTTGGGGTCACTGAGTGGCATAAGATGCTCCAGGGTCACTGGATGGAATAGGATTCCTTGGGGTCACTGGGTGGCACAGGCTGCTCTGGAGTCCCTGGGTGGTATGGGATGCTCCAGGGTTACTGTGTGGCACAGGATGCTCCAGGTTCATTGGTGGCATAGGATTCTGTGGGTGATACAGGATGTTTCAGAGTCAGTGGGTGGAACAAGATGATCTGTGGTCCCTGGGTGGCATAGGATGCTCCAGGATCACTGGCTGGCATAGGATGCTTTGGGGTCACTGGGGGGCATAGGATGCTTTTGGGTCACTGGGTGGCATAGGATGATCCAGAGTCACTGAGTGGCATAGAATGCTCTGGGTTCATTGGGTGGCATAGGATTCTCCAGGGTCACTGGGTGGCATAGGATTCTTTTGGGTCACTGGGTGGCACAGGCTGCTCTGGGGTCCCTGGGTGGTATGGGATGCTCCAGGGTTACTGTGTGGCACAGGATGCTCCAGGTTCATTGGTGGCATAGGATTCTGTGGGTGATACAGGATGTTTCAGAGTCAGTGGGTGGAACAGGATGATCTGTGGTCCCTGGGTGGCATAGGATGCTCCAGGATCACTGGCTGGCATAGGATGCTTTTGGGGTCACTGGGTGGCACAGGATTCCCCAAGGCCATTGTGTGGTATTGGATGCTTTGGGGTCACTGAGTGGCATAAGATGCTCCAGGGTCACTGGATGGAATAGGATGCTCCAGGGTTACTGGGTGGTATTGGATGCTTTGGGGTCACTGGCTGGCATAGGATGCTTTGAGGTCACTGGGTGGCATAGGATGCTTTGGGGTCACTGGGTGGCATAGGATGCTCCAGGGTCACTGGATGGAATAGGATGCTCCACATTGCTGGATGGTGTTGGATGCTTTGGGGTCACTGGCTGGCATATGATGCTTTGGGGTCACTGGGTGGCAAAGGATGCTCCAGGGTCAAGGCATAGTATGCTGGCTTCATTGGGTCATAGGACTCCAGGGTCACTGGTCAGCATAGGATGCTCTGGCTTCATTGGGTGGCATAGGATTCTTTGGGTGTTACAGGATGCTCCAAGGTCACTGGTCAGCATAGGATGCTCCGGGGTCCCTGGGTGATACAGGATGCTCTGAGTTCATGGGGTGACATAGGATGCTCAGGGGTCACTAGTGGCGCAGGGTGCTCTGGTGTCATGGAGTGACACAGGATGCTCTGAGGTCAATGGGTGATAAAAGTTGGCGGCTGGCATGATGGGTAGGGAAGAGTTGGGGAAGGGACAGCACCAAGGAGACTTGTGTGTAGCAATGTGATCCTACTATGCCCAGCCATGTGTCACCACGCAATGTAAAGCCTTGGCAGGCAGGAGAGCTGTCTTCTGATTGGTCCTGGCATTGGCGCTCTGGGCGAGACTGGGCAACTTTATTAAGCATTTCTAACATCCACAAAGGTCTAAAAATATAGAGTTTTTGGTAAAACCGGCCAGTGCGAAGTAGACACATCGGTCCCGGACGAGCCCCCAACCCTCGGCAGCGTTCCACTCAGGATCCGTAATAAAAGCCGTAAAACACCGCGGCCCGCGCACTTCCTTAAATGAGTGTTGTTAAGGAACTAAGACGATGCATTATTTATGCCTAGAAAATATAAAATAAACATAAGGCAATTTACTCCGCGGCCAAATCCTCGCCAACAAATAGACGAGCGCGTTTTATGGCCATTAGGCAGGACAGTAAACTCCGGGCAGTGAGTAAATTTTCTCTATCGCTATTGATTGAAGAACAGAAAGGGACAAGAAAATTTCATGGAAGCGAACTATTAATGTCAGACATTGTTAACAACGTTCATTAGGTTTATATATTACCCACAATGCCCCTTCCGTCTGCAGAACGAGTCTGGAATGAGGACTCCTCCGGCATTAAGGATGAGATAATATTTTCTGATGTCAAACAAGAGAAGAATTCTAAGTACCCTGCAAGCCGGCAACAAGAAAACTCAAAACTTCTAGAAAAACTCTTCTAATGACAGCCGGGGGCCCGGAGGAGAGGAACGGAGAGGGTTCCCTTAAAGGGTCAGTCCACCCCAAAGTGGTCCTTTAGTTATCGGTCCCCTGGCTTCCTGCTGTTTCGCATACTTTAACAACAAGATCTCCCTGCCTCAATTCCTGGCTATTCTTCGGTCTAAATACTTCACAGGTCTATTGATGAGATCTCTGTGCCGAGTTCCCGGGTCTGTACATCAGCTGTGCCCATTATGAGTGGGTTCCCACCATCCCTGTGCAGAGTTCCCGGGTCTGTACATCAGCTGTGCCCATTATGAGGGGTTCCCGCCATCTCTGTGCTGAATTCCCTGGTCTTTACACCCGCTGTGCCCATTATGAGGGGTTCCCGCCATCCCTGTGCTGAGGTCCCGGGTCTTTACACCCGCTGTGCCCATTATGAGGGGTTCCCACCATCCCTGTGCTGAGTTCCCGGGTCTGTACACCCGCTGTGACCATTATGAGCGGTTCCACCATCCCTGTGCTGAGTTTCTGTTTCTGTACACCCGCTGTGCCCATTATGAGGGGTTCCCGACATCCCTGTGCTGAGTTCCCGGGTCTGTACACCCGCTGTGCCCATTATGAGCGGTTCCACCATCCCTGTGCTGAGTTTCTGGGTCTGTACGCCCGCTGTGCCCATTATGAGGGGTTTCCGACATCCCTGTGCTGAGTTCCCGGGTCTGTACACCCGCTGTGCACATTATGATGGGTTCCCACCATCCCTGTGATGAGTTCCCGGGTCTGTACACCCAATGTGCCCATTATGAGGGGTTCCCACCACCCTTGTGCTGAGTTCCCGGGTCAGTACGCCCGCTGTGCTCATTATGAAGGGTTCCCACCACCCTTGTGCTGAGTTCCCGGGTCAGTACGCCCGCTGTGCTCATTATGAAGGGTTCCCACCATCCCTGTGCTGAGTTCCTGGGTCTGTACCCCTGCTGTGCCCATTATGAGGGGTTCCCGGGTCTGTACACCCGATGTGCCCTTTATGAGCGTCTCTCCCTGTGCTAAGTTCCCGGGTCTGTACACTCGTTGTGCCCATTATGAGGGATTCTCACCATCCCTGTGCCAAGTTCCCGGGTCTGTAGGGATGTGAACCTAAACAATGGATGACCCCGGCCTTCAGTCATTCAGAATTATGTAATTCAGCACCTGCACTGATGCCACTTCCTATTTAATGACTCTTCAGAGAAGGGAGGGATGTGAACCTAAACAATGGTAGTCAGTGGCAGTGCAGGATGACCCCGGCCTTCAGTCATTCAGAATGACGTCATTTTGCTCCTGCTATATGATGCTCCCGCCATCTAGTCAATTGCTCTTTTAGGGCCAATGGAGACTTGAACATAAAAAATGGTGGGCAACGATGGTGCAGGATGACCTCGGCCTTCAGTTATTCAGAATGAGATCATTCAG